AGGCTTCGAGGGCTAGCGAGAAGGGGCGTAGAGAGGAGTGAGTTCGCAAACGCAGTGGGGGAGGATTCTGAAGTGTTCTGGGGAGTAGCGCTGTGGGCCAATGGATTAGCGGCGAGAGGCCCACGCTGACGTTATGGAGGGCGCTGGCGCGAACAGCCGTGACTCTTGGACCGTGAATTCTGGATGGCAGCCTGCGACTTGTTTCTCCCCCTACACGCTGCTTTTCCTTCTTCGTCTCGTCTGTCGTGGCCTAAGAAGTTCTACTTGACCACATCCAGTCATACGATGGTCACGGTCCGTATGAAACAAGGGCCAATTCCCTGAGTCTCCAGGCTTCGCGCCTCGACCCGCATCTGAACTCGAACGTCATCCTGCTCGATCACCATGGGTGTGAACGGCCTTTGGACCGTCATACAGCCATGCGCGCGACCGACGAACCTCGCGACACTCAACCGCAAACGCCTAGCTGTCGATGCCTCCATCTGGATTTACCAATTCCTCAAGGCCGTGCGCGACAAGGAAGGAAACGCCTTACGCAACTCCCACGTCGTAGGCTTCTTCCGTCGTATCTGCAAGCTCCTCTGGTTTGGCATCCAGCCAGTCTTTGTCTTCGATGGCGGAGCCCCGGTTCTCAAGCGCCAGACAATCCTAGGCCGAAAGCGCAGACGCGAGGGTCGCCGAGAAGATGCTGCGAGGACAGCGGGCAAGCTGCTTGCGGTGCAGATGCTGCGCATCGCAGAGGAGGAGCAAGATAAGAGGCGAAGGGAGAAGGATCTCGATATCTCCGCTAGAGAAGCGGAACAAGAGGAAGAGATACCGGACGTCAGCAAGCTTGTCTACGTCGATGAAGTGAGAATGACAGAGAAGGAAAGACTCCAGAACAGGAAATTCCACAAGCAAGATGCCTACCATCTACCTGAGTTGGATGGCGGCGGCATCGCGGCAATGGGAAAACCGGATGATCCCCGAATAATGAGCGTGGAAGAGCTGGAGGAATACGCCAGACAATTCCACGATGGCGAGGATATCAACTTGTACGATTTCAGCAAGATCGACTTTGATGGCGAATTTTTCAAGAGCCTACCACCTCCAGACCGATACAATATTCTAAACGCCGCGAGACTGAGGAGCCGACTGAGAATGGGCCTCAGCAAGGAACAGCTGGATGATATGTTTCCCGATCGAATGGCCTTCTCAAGGTTCCAAATCGAGAGAGTCAAGGAGAGAAACCACCTGACCCAGCGTCTCATGTACGAGGTTGGTATGACGGGTACTGACTTGACCCTTGGTGTTAATGCACGAGTGGCTGGCGAAAAGAACCGAGAGTATATTCTGGTCAAGAATGACGGCGTCGAAGGAGGATGGGCTCTGGGCGTGGTGAGCAAGGAGAAGGATGTTGGTGAAGCGCACAAGCCTATCGATGTTGATGCAATCCAAATCCAATACCAATCCAAGGAGGAACAGGATGAAGAGGATGACGCAGACTTTGAAGACGTTCCTATCGAGGGATTGAACCGATTGCCAAAGCCCACACCGACTTCTGCGGTTGGCACCCAGGATCTCGCGGTACGGAGCCAGAATCTCTACGATGGCCATCGGAACGAATCTGCTGCAGTTGAAGAAGGCTCATTGTTCGTCGGTGGCAACCTGGGAGACGTGAATGGCCTATTTGAGGCTCAGTTTGAACAAGCCGTTCACCCAGAGGAAGAGGACGAACTTAACCTCGCCATCGCTCTGTCATTACAAAACCAGCATGGTGTCGGCCGAGAGATAGAGGTCGAAGAAGAATTCGAGGATGTCTCGATGGAGGAACCCAAGTGGAAACAAAAATCTGTTGAAGGGCCAAAGCCCATCAATGCTACTGGCTCCATGATCGCACACATTGTCAACAACCGAGCAAATGCGGCCGTGCCAAAGCGTCAAGGGCGGGAAATTACTGCCGGCAGCGATAGTGAAGATGACATGCAGGCGGTTATGGCCAAGTCTAGGCGAACGAAAAGGGCCCAACCAGCGCCGGTCATGGAGAACAAGAAAAACCCCTTTGATGGTCCATTGCCTTTCCCCAAACTCGACTGGGGATCTTCCCTGTTCGCTAAGAAGACACCTCAGAAGGGAACTGAAGTCGCGAAGGAAAGTGGGGCTCAGGAACCCCGGAACGTGAACGATGAAATGGCTGGCGGCTTTGAAAAGGAGTCTCAGAATGGTGATGGCCCAAAACCTCTGCCTCCTTGGTTGGCCGATGGAGGCGATATTCGCGAGTCATTAAAAAAGCAGCAAGAGGCAGACCGAGAAATCAACGCTGCAGATAAACTTGCAGCGGAGGAAGACGAAAGACTTCGACGACGGGAGATGCAAGATCGACTGATTGAGATTGATTCCTCGTCAGATGATGGAAGTGATATCGAAGTCATCGAGATTCCACCGTCTCCAGAGAAACCAGCCGACGATACCCCTGTTGTCATCGATAACGACGAGGTTGACGCCACTGCAAGTGGGTTACTAGTGCTAGACGCTTCCCAACCCTCATTGCTGGAGGCTGAACAAGAGCCCGGGGAATTGGGGTCAGCAGAGCCAGAATTTGAAGAGGTGTTGGCTCCTGCTGTTTCCAACGACGAGACTCAGTTGCCACGAACAGAAAAACAAGTCTCCCCCTCTCCCGAACCAGAGTTTGAGGATGTTATCACTGCTGAACCCCTGGTGGAAGAAGCACGAAACAGTTCATTGCCATCCTTCGACGATGCTTCTAGACTGGAAGCCCCAGTTATTACACAGGGAGAAAACGATATTGGCATTGAAGACGACGAGTTTGATGATGTTGAGTATGATGAGTTCAGTGACCCAGGAGATGAGGAGCTCATGGCACAAATGGCTGAGGAAGCCGAGGAACATGCTCGATTCGCCAGTGAGCTGAACAACAAGTCTGCGGCACAGAATAGGGAGGATTATGAGAACGAGCTGAAGGCTCTTCGAAATCAGCAAAAGAAGGACCGCCGAGATGCCGATGAGGTTACACAAGTCATGATCACGGAATGTCAGGCTCTCCTTCGGCTGTTTGGCATCCCCTATATTACTGCCCCCATGGAAGCCGAAGCACAGTGCGCTGAGCTGGTCCATTTGGGACTTGTTGATGGCATTGTGACGGATGACTCCGATACATTTCTCTTTGGCGGAACTCGGGTCTATAAGAATATGTTCAACAGCAACAAATTTGTTGAGTGTTACCTGGGCGTCGATCTAGAGAAAGAATTATCTCTTTCCCGCGAGCAGCTCATCTCACTCGCCCAGCTTCTCGGATCTGATTACACTGAAGGCCTGCCTGGTGTTGGTCCCGTTACTGCAGTTGAGATTCTCTCCGAGTTTCCCGGTAAGTCTGGGCTCGATGATTTCCGCGAATGGTGGCAGGCAGTTCAATCTCAAAGTCGGCCTAAGGCAGCCGACGCCTCGTCAACCTTCCGAAGGAAGTTCCGTAAGTCCCAAGCCACCAAACTCTTCCTCCCACCTGGTTTCCCTAGCCCAGCCGTCTACGATGCGTACCTCAACCCCGAGGTCGATGCTAGCGCTGAGCAATTCCAATGGGGTGTCCCGGACGTCGAAGGCTTGCGACAGTTCCTGATGGCGACAATTGGATGGAGTAAGGAGCGGACGGATGAGGTCTTGGTACCTGTTATCAAGGACATGAACACGCGGGACCGGGAGGGAACGCAAAGCAATATTACGAGGTTCTTTGGGGGCAGTGTGGGTGCTGGCGCGAAAGATGCATCTGCGCCGCGACAGAAGGCGCAAGGAAGTAAGCGAATGGCGGCGGCTGTAGACAGATTGAGGGCGAATGTTGCAGGTGAAGGGCCGAGCACGAGTAACGCAGAGAGTGGAACTGGGAAGCGAAAACGGGCGGCGAGGAGAGACACCGTGGACAATGATGGAGATGGATATGTAGAGGAGGAGGAGGTTAATCAAACGGATAGTATCCCGACTAGAAGGTCTCGGGGTAAAGGGAAGAGGGCCAAGGGGTCATCATGAACTAGCCATTGGACAATTGAGAAAAGAAATCCGCGTTTGGCTCTCCTGGATCAAACTACTTCCCATCTTTCTCTCGCCAAGTGGAGAGAAGATAAAGGAGGACCCCCAGGCTCATTCAAACCACCCTGAATTCTACTAGGATAATTGATCCAGAGAATGGGAACTCGACATATTGTGGAGGACCCTGGCAATGGTGGTAATACTACTCATCCATCCGACTATGACATATACAATACTCCTCTTTCTTTGTCCTTCCATATGTTGGCAAGTACTAGCCTGAATTCTTGAGAACATAGCTCGCTTCAAATCCGGGTCGCTTCACCAGACTGTTCCAGTTGCGTGAAAGCTTCGATTGGTCCACGCATAGCGGGTATGAGGTTTTGTCTGCCGTTGTTCGATTTTACTGATTAAAAACATTGAAGAAAGGATAGTGTATATAACATGTGGTAGCGGTATCGACACGTCTACTTGGAGGGGACCTTTTGAATGCTGGACATCGAGTTGGCTGCAAATGGGGTCTGAGGTCGTCGAGTTTTGCCAGGCCGTCTTGGTCGAAATATAGCGCTGGGGGTTTAAGCCAAAGGCACCAAACAAGCGAAATGGTGTTGGCAACTGGATATGATTAGATATGGTCGTTTGATGTCGAGAATTAATGTAGAAAAGTTGAAGGCAAGCTGGCCGCTAACAACGCACACAAGTTGGAGGTTAGAGTGTTCATGGAGGCGTAGATCTCCTTTATAAGTTCTGTTCAGAGCTGCCATGATAAGTTACTGGGATCGATAGCTCAGTGGTAGAGGTTAGTTTGACTGCCAAGTCATTCACTAAAATCACCAATCCTAACATTCTTTCAGCGGGAGATTGCAGATCTTCAGGCCGCGTGTTCGAACCACGCTCGGTCCTCTTTTTTTGGCCTTTCTTTTTGCATTCCCCTCCCAGCTTCCGCCAAGTTAACAGGTGTCTTAAAGCCCTGTCTTTCAGCTCCGGGATCGATAGCTCAGTGGTAGAGGTGAGTTTCACTGCCATGTCTTGAATTAAAACATCCCATCCTAACAGTCATTCAGCGGGAGATTGCAGATCTTCAGGCCGCGTGTTCAAACCACGCTCGGTCCTTTCTTTTTGCCCTTTTTTTGCAAATTCTGATACTTGGTTTGCACGTAGCGACAGAGAGAGGCGTTGAATACTAAGTGATGACGATCCCACAGCTTCCATGAGGCTAATATTCAGCCCTACCACTCACCAAACTCCAGGCTGCCAGAAGATGAGACTCCAATCCACAAACTCAGCATGGATTTGTAGATTTTTTTTTCTTTTTAAAAAAACCACATTTTTCCTTGCTCAAGCCAATTAATATGGGAATATCTCGGATTTCGGAGGCGGGACGTTGAAGCCACGGACCACACACCCCGCCGCTTGTACCTGGGCCACCTAGAGAAGTCGGGGGCTAAACACCGGTAGAACCTGCTCACGTGCCGCCTTGCTCATGGTCACTCGGCTGCTTCGCAAACACCCCCCAAAGAAGTGGTGCGCCTGGACAAGCAAATAGATTTCTCATTTTCTTTCCTTATCTTCCTTGCTGTGATTTCCGATTTCTTGACGTCCCTCGGCTGTTTCCCCGTCGCTGCTCTTCGATCGCCCCCCATGGATCAACGCGAGCTCGAGGCACGCGTCAAGGCTTTGACCAAGTGCGTGGCTGCGAATGAGCCACCCGAGAACGCCATCAAGCTGCTCGAAACGCTTAAGAAGGATGCCTCCCCTACTGAGGAGATGCTGAGGGTACGTGATGGCGCTACGTCACAGATGTCTTGCGCTTGGATAGGTTGCGCCGGGAGCAGCATAGCTATGTGCTGCAACGCCTCGTGCCTCCGTCGCTCGCCTGGGCGCATCTGGAGACTTGTCTGCGATAATGTGCATGATCGTGGGGAGCTTCAAGGCGCAACCCGAACAAACCTTTGCGCTTTTGCCACACCTGCACCGCAATTTTGCCCAAACCTCTACTGACATTTGTTTTCATTGAACAGGCTACTCGTGCCGGTGTCTACGTTGGAAAGCTTCGGTCAAATCCCAACAAGGAGATCGCCCGTGCCGCCTCCGAGCTCGTCATCAAGTGGAAGAAGCTTGTCGAGCAACAAAAGAACTCGAAATTCAACAAGGGAAAGAAGGGTTCTCCGGCACCAGCTCCCACATCCTCCCCTGCTCCTCCCTCATCATCCGGCGGCGGCGCCGTCAAGAAGACCTTCAAGGGTGATCCCGAGAAGCGCAAGTTCGATACCGACGGCGTTGATATCAAACGCACCGACTCCAACGTTCGAAACCAATGCATCGGCCTTATCTACAACGGCCTTGCATTCCGATCAACCACCCCCGAGTCCGATGTCATCGCCAAGGCCGTTGCCGTCGAGCACGCCGCCTACTCTTACTTCAAGGGGGAGGGCGCCGAGTACAAGAAGAAGATCCGATCGCTGTTCTCCAACCTCAAGAACAAGTCCAACAAGGAGCTGGGCCGCCGTGTCATGTCTGGAGAAGTGTCGGCAGAGAGGTTCGTCAACATGACGGACGAGGACCTGAAGAGCGACGACCAGCGCAAGAAGGAGATCCAGCTGGAAAAGGAGAACATGCTGAAGGCTCAGGTTCCCCAAGAACAGAAGAGTATCAGTGAAAGCTTGGAGTGCGGCCGTTGCAGGAAGAAGATGGTCAGCTACACGCAGGCACAGACGCGAGCCGCTGATGAACCGATGACTACGTTCTGCGAGTGCATGAATTGCGGAAACCGATGGAAGGTATGTTGCATGCATCTTATATTATCCCTTCACGACGAAATCAGAGCTAACATGTTACAATAGTTCTCTTGAGGGGGTTTGACGGCGGCGGCGTTTCATTTCGCACAGTAGGGTTTGCATGGGACTGTGGTGCGATATTCTAGGGGGATTCTGGAGTTCACAGGAAACGGAGTGGCGACTTAACTTGTACCAAGAACGAAGACTACGGGCGCGCGATACCTTTCTCTTATTGTCATGACGGAATTTTTCCAAGCGTCGTCCCCAAAAGAAACATATTTGGGGCTCCTGAGTGATTGCAGTAGCTTGATGGGAAATAGACGTCGACAAGGCGCCCTATTGGAGACGTATCACTTGGTTCCGCGCTCAGTTCTTGTTGTATTATTTTTCTTCTTTTTTCTTTTTTCACTTCATGATTGCTCATGTCGTCTTGGGTATCCCTAGCTCAGAAAATAAGTCGGACGCCTCGTTGTCGCCCTTACGCTCCATCTCTTTGATGTGCTTCCAGAATTTGCTGAGGTGGCGTGAGCCTGAATCGCATAGAATAGTGACGACGTGACTCCCCGGCGGCAAGGTCATGGCGGTAGCGACGGCGGCGACGCAGTTGACGGAACTGCTGCTGCCGATGAAGATGCCGTCGTGCTCGACGAGCCAGCGAGCCATTCGGCAGGCCTGCTCATCTGTCACCTTGACGGCGTCGTCGATGAGTTCCCGCCCGGCCTCGAAGTTCTGCGTGAGGCGTGTGATGCCGATACCCTCTACCATGGTGTCGACCTGCTGGCGACGCCGTGTGCCCTCGCGCTCTGTCGACGAGTACATGACGCCGTGACGGACCTTGTTGTACAGGCCACTGCCCTGGGGGTCGGCCAGCACAATCTTGACGGTTGAGAGCTTCTGTTCTTCCTTGAGGTACTTGGCGACGCCGGACATGGTGCCACCCGTTCCCGCGCCGGCAACGAAGGCGTCTAAGTCGCCGTTCGTCTGTTTCCAGATTTCAGGGCCGGTCGATTTCAAGTGCGCCTGCCAGTTGGCGTCCGACTCGAACTGATTGGCGAAGAAGCCCTGGCTGCCGTCCTGATGCTTCGCGGCGTGCTCGGCGGCGTAGCGACGGGCAAGGTTCACAAAATGGTTGGGGCTGGTGATGGGCGCAACGGTGACTCGCTCGACGGTGGCGCCGAGTTGCAGCAGCAGGTCCGACTTCTCCATGGCCATGTCGTCGGGCATGAAGATATGAGCGCGGTAGCCCTTTGCGCGGGCGAGGGTGGCGAGCGAGATGCCGGTGCTGCCCACGGTGCCCTCGTAGATGGTGTCGCCGCGCCGGGGCACGAGCAGGCCCTGCGCCTCGGCCTCGCGGATCATGTTGAGGGCGACGCGGTCCTTGGGGCTGTTGCCGGCACCGTTGAGAAACTCGGCTTTGGCCAGGATCGTGCGGCCCGTGGCCTCAGAGAGCGACTGGATCTTGATGAGCGGCGTGTTGCCGATACAGGCCTCGATGCCCTCCGCCGGGCTGCTGCGAGCGTCGTCGTGCGCCGAGGGGGCTTCGTGGTCCTCGAGTTTAACGGGGCTGCTCCAGAAGAAGCTGCCGCGGCGAGACTCATCTCCTGGGGCCGAAAGCGTCTCTCGTGAGCGCCGCTTGCGCTGGTAGCGACGCTCGAGGTCGGGATACGAGTCCTTGAACCCGAGGGTCAGCAGGACGCCGGCCGTGAAGGCGAAAGCGAGGGCGGCAGTGCCGTAGGCCCTGGGGTGATCACTCAGGGCCATTGGATTATTCCCTTTTCGGGGGTCCAAGCCAATCAACTGGGCGAGTTAGAAGTGTGGTGTTGAATTAATGGCATCCCATTATTTGCGACGATATATTGGCAATTGGTGGGGCAAGACATGAAGTCTTTGGCGAACCTGTGGAAGGGTTCGAGAAGCGGCCGTGCACGGAGCATGTCGTCATCTTTAAATGGTGGGGGCCAGCACTAACAAGAAGATAGAGGTATACTTCGTAGTCCTGGCATCATGAGGTTCATTTGGTCATGAATGATTTATTTCTCGACGAATCAATTAATCATTCTGCTATATTCAAGACCTAAAATGATCCCACCATCCATCACCAATACGGATTACGCACAATCTTCCTTCGATGCAGCTCCTTCCAATGCTCAATGTGGATTTCCTCGGGCCACTCCGAAATCCAATGCCAGACATCAAAGTTGGGTTCCCTCCGTCCATTTGGCCCCCAGATCTCGCAGGTCGGAACGCGGCTGGTGTCCTTGACCTCTACCACCCACTTGGCGCGCCAGTTGGGGGTTCTGCTGTTGCCGTCCATGAAGCCGGTCTCAGATCGCCAGCAATATCCGTCCTGGTCGCTGTTTGGTCGCCATATCTCGTCTCCCTTTCGCATCTGGCGGCCTCTTCTGTAGTCCCTCCACATCTGTACAAGACTGCCTCTCTCACCGGGCGTTTTATGCTTCCGCATCAGATCGCGACGAATTTCCTCCAAAACTGGTCTCGGATTCTCCATGTATAAAGGAGGCGATCCGACGTAGCCATTGTCGTGGGTCACTATTCGAGTCGAATCCACTGCCGTAGACGGGTCGGCCATGGTTTTGGTTTAAGTTGTTATGATGTGAGACAAAGAGGAGGATTTGAGGCTGGATGCCCTGAAAGGAATATGAGCACAGAATATTTTTTGCTGGTAGAGAAAGTGGAAGGAAGATATGGTCTTGATCTGGTCATGGTGTGGCCTTTTGTAGTCGACGATACCACATACAACCGAATCGATTTTGATGACATAGAGGGAAACCTTGAGCAAAAGTTAACCTCTGCAGATGCCTCCCAAACCATGATAATAGTGATTGCAAGGAAGACCAAACTATCCGCGTCGACCATCTGTAATGAGGGTTCTTGGTTCGTATATATGCCCGTGTAAAGCTTCTCGGATGTCGTCGTCATTTCCTGAGAATCTTCATGGTCTAGAACTGAAAAGAGAGAGAAATATTTTTCAGGTGCATAAAAGTCTTATTCAGTTGTAATTAACTTCAACACCCCGCACGCCGAACGAATACTGTATGTGTTTGGTGATGCTTATCCAAGCCCTTGTTCGGAACTGGTCTTCGGGAATTGTGATGAACTATGAATTAGAATACGTATAATTTTTTGTCATATTCTCACACCGTCTCTGGTTCCGGTCGATGGCGTTGACGATGTAACGTGTTCCCTCCAACCTTGTTGCATTTTAACGAGCACAAGTGATCAAGATGGAGCGTCGGTCGTTTAGCTAGCGACGGATACAGAGCACGCAGACACCTAAATAGGAAATGTCTCGTGTGATTCGCGCCTGGGATTCCA